TATATATTTAAATGTAATCAAAATTTTATTTCTTATTTATTAAATATTCTATATGTTATTTTGAAAATATATACTTAATTTTCTTCTTTATATTATAAATATAAATATATAAATATTATAAATTATCTGTTTCTTCTACATTCTATATATGTTCCAGTCTTTTCAATTTCTTCTTATTTCTTATCATTCTTCTTCTGTTTAATTTTTCAGGTTTCCTTTTCTAAATAGTTTTTTTATTCTTTTTTGGAATTCTTTTCTTCTTTTCAGGGAAAGAATCAAGAAAATCTTCTAAATTCTATATTCTTAGAATATTTTCTTTATGAATGTAAAAGGTTAAGAATTAATCTGAAATCCGATTCATATAAATTATATATTTCTAGAGTTTCTTCTTCTTCTTTTAAATAAGTTATTTTCTATCTTCTATATTAGATATATGAGGTTAACATATATTCTTATATTGAAATGTATTTCAGGCAAGAAATTTATTCTTTTTCATATTATTATCTTTTTTGAGCTATTTTTGATCTATTTAAATAATCTTCATTTCAGGAAAATTCTGGTTTCTTCTTATACATATTCTTATATTTATATGCATCTTCTTTCCTAATAAATTCATTCTTTGTTTTTTGTTTCTTCTTTTCATCTTTCTTCTTCTTCTTCATTAATATTTATTATTATTATTAATTATTATTATTTAAATTTGTTTTTGTTTAAACTTGTTCAATTCAAGTCCCAAACAGATACCTAAGGTCATATATGTTAGGTTATTATTTTTATTATTATTATTATTAATATTAACGGGATCCGTATTTTTAAAGCAAATTTTAAACATTGATTCATCCCACTGGCCATTATTTAAAAAAAACATATTTTTGATAAAATAGATTTAAAATTAACAAGAATAAACAGTATGAATTTTAGATGTCAAAGATATGAGAGCATTATTACGATTATTTTCAAATTTCATTCATTCATTCCTTTGATAAATTTTTTTTATTTATTCATAATTTTTTAAATTTCAAAATCTAATAAATTTTTGGATTGTATTTTATTTTCATTTTATATTTTTTAATCGAATAAAAGGAATGGTCGATTATGGAGGTTGAAGCATATTTAATATCGCGAAATAAAAGATAAAAAATTTCACAACAACACCTTTTTTTGATGCCCTGTTTATTTTTACATATATATAAATAGTATGAACATTCACCAGATGAGGGGTTAATGATAAACTCAAGTCCAAATATGATATTTGAATTTATGGACAAAATTTACATGCTAATATTTACATATGCTATTTTATTAACTAACAAGTATAATTATATAAATAGTTTATGGTATGAAAAAATTCTTGTCGCCAGATATTTTTTCATTTTTTTCAGATTTTGACACGGCTATTCACATGTTAAAAGAGAGACTTGTGTTGTATATTTTCATGATAAATGCAAAAAAATTCGCATGGAGGATTTGGAATGATTTTTTACAAGGTTTTCCAAAGAAGACGATACTACGATGTATGAAAACCACAGAAACAAATTGAGAAAAAAGGGAATAGGAAGACTTTTACGCGACGGAACACATGTATAAAGGTTTATTACATTATGCAAAAAATAAAAAGAAAAAAAAATAAAGAAGAAAAATTCAAGACATTTAAATTTTAAATAAATGATAAACTATATCCTGATTCACATAATTATTTTAAAACTTATATCCGACAGAAAAGCATCTGTAATTATTAGAAATTCCAGTCTAGCCACCACCAAAAAAAAAAATTTCCAGGTCCATTTCTTGGGTTTTAGTTACCTGTTAATGGGGAATACATAACAAAATAGTTAACTTTTAAACAGAGGTTAAAATATATGAAGATAAAATAAGTTTTAATAATTACAAAAAAATATTTTATTACAATGCAATGCATTTTGAAAAAAAAAATAAAAAAAAAAAAAAGATATTACCAATATATATTTAAAAAAATATATATTATTAGCTACAATAAAAAATATATTAATATAAAATTATTTTAAAAAATAATAACACCAACTATACATTTTTTTTAAATAAATATTACCAGAAGAATTTTTAAAAAATCTGTTAAACCAGCAATACAACGATCAAAAAAATATTAAATACAATAAAAAAAAAATTTTCCAAACGACATTAAATAACAATTGAGGTTGATATGGTCAAAAAGAAAACAAACAAACAAACACATCAAGATTTAGGCATGAATCATATAGAATATTATTAAGGATGATCATAAATAATAAATCTTTTTAAAAACACCTAAAAAAAAAACATAAGTGTTGGTCTTACTGACATTATTATGTTTTCCATATCAAATTCCTAGTTTAAATTCACTTAATTTTCCGTCTCTTTGGTCTTTTTTCAAAACCCTTCACTACTATTCCCATAACGACCATTATCTTCAAATTGGAATTTTACTTTCGAAAAATCAAAATAATCAATATTCTTTTCAATTATTGGCAAAGGAAAACGTTCA